TCCCCGACTTGATGGGGCTAGAGATGGGGATTGTTTTGGCGGGGCGGGATATATATATATATATATATATATATATATATATATATATATATATATATATTAAAATATATTTAAAACATTATTTATAATTTAAATTTTTTATTTATTTTAAATAAATTTATTTAAAGACGAGGAATATGATCCCCGCCCCATTGTCATTCCTACACACCTTATAGTTTTACATATTTACTTAAACCTACCTTATTGATTTCATTTTACTAAAACATCCCATATATTTTATAACTTATTTACTTAATCAACATTTCATTAAGTAGTGTTTGTTTTGCCATTAAGCCATGATTTTTTATTTCAAAAATATCCTTAACACTTTTTTTGTATAACGAGTAGAGCGTTTGCCCGTGTCTTATTAAGGGCAAAATTGGTATTTTTATTTTTATTTTTATTTTCTTTTGATTAAATTTATTTAAATGAACATTAGGGTCAACACTGTCATTTTTCACTGTCATCTAATAGAAATTTGATTAAATCCATTACAAATTATAAGTGTTGTTTTAGTAAAATGCTAATTATAGGGTAGATTTTAGTAAAATCCATGAAACTATAAGGAGTATTTTATTATATAACATTTTCTATTGTTTAGCTTTCTCTTATTAAATCCCGTGCATCGCACAGATCCTCGATAGTTCTAATTATATTTCTCATTTTGCCACATCAGCTGATTCAGCAAATCACCTTGATGAATCACTCAAAAATCAGTTCCGTTGAAGAATTGGCGACTCTTGTTTTTCATGTTCGGGGACAACGTTATTCCAAGCTGAGCATTTAAAAGTTTAAAAAAATCATGTAATTAGCATTATAAAGAGAAAATGCATTTCACTAAAGAAATCACAATAATTATCCAAATGCCAAACATCATCTAGTCCACAGACATGAATCCTGTTTTGGGTACAATTCTTGATGGACTACACCCCATTAATTGTGTAGCCGTAAGGGGCAAAATATATCTATGCATAAACATGTCATACATCCATGTCCAACCTGGTTTTGTTTTTGATCATTTTATCAACACAAACCAACAAAATATGAATATGGTAAAGGTCAGATCTTGGTTTGATTAATTAGCTGGAACCATTTAGGTGATAGGTTCCATTTTTCTCTAAAATTGAAATTTCCTTCAAAACCGTTGATTTTGGTCAGAAAATCGTTGAATCGAACGGTTAACTATTTGAACGGTTTTGACCATTTTTTATTTTTTTTGAATTTTTTTATTTTTTTGTTAAAATGGATCGAGTGTTCGGTTCGAACAATCGGACTGTATGACCCAATAACCAGACCCCTGACCGATTTGATCACCGGATCAGTTTTAAAAACCATGCTATGAAGTAATAGGAAAGAAAATAATAAATTAAGAACAAAATAGGAAGGAAAAAGAAACACAAAATTTATATGGCTCAGCATAGCATAGTAGCTTACATCCATGGGAAGAGATATAGCTGACTTCTCTACAGTTTCACAACAAAATGTATGTCTATTTATGTTTTATATATAAGAGAGTGTTTAGATTTGTTAACGTACCTCTGTTGGCTTCTCTTAAGTCTTAACAACGCATTCAACACTTCCAATAAAATCACCAATCTACCAAAGGGGCTTGGCTTCCAGACTTCTAACGCAATGCGCACTGAATAGAAAATGTTGTATCAAGAATTCAACATCAAGAGACACTCCACGGTGATAAAGCAATTGGGCTATCATTCTCGATCTCCTCCTTTCTTTATTATATCCACCAATCCATGAGATCTACATATATACTTAGTACGCACTCAACCACCTTGTTCGTATACTTCATCATTCATATGCAATTAATTGAGAACCGTCAGATACTAATCCAATGGTATCTACCCATGTTTAAGGAATCTTAATTATATGACAAGAGCAGGACAGCAAGAGTCATACTGTGAATTTTTCATTTCATTCAAAGCAAAGTGAAGGCAAAGAATCTTCTTTTCATTTAAGCATGAAAAAGTGTCCAATTTAATTATTTTCTTGTGGTCGTAGTCAAAAAAAAAAGTCTTGAAAGTTCTAATTTTATCCCCAAAGAAATTCCAATGTATTACTTTTATTCCGGAAAAATGAAAGCAAAGAATCCAATAGGACACAAAAGAGGCAAATTCTAATAGTATTTTTTATTTTGTCACATCAGCGGATTCAGCAAATTACATTGAGAAATCACTCAAAAAGATCAGTAGAGTAGAGGGATCAGCCTCTCACTCTCGTTTTTAATGTTCAGGAAAGACTTTTCAAGCGGAAGAGATTTTTAATTGGAATTACATATCCATCCTAATCTATATTATATAGAGGAAAGAGAGAGGAAAAGAGTCCTCTCACCTCAATGCTAACATCAATCTCCTCCCCCTATTGCTTAAGTGTGGTTATTTATTATTAAAAATATGTCACAATAAAAAAAAAAAAAAAACTCTCAAGTTTTAGCTTTCTTGAATAATATTTATCACTACTCTCTCTAGTAAAATCATTTTTAAGTTGTAAGTACAATGAAGTGGCTTTAATGAGGCTGACAATCTTGACCCTAACCCATTTTACCCACCCAAACCCACCTTATGGTCGAGTAATCCATTAGGGTCGGTGAAAAAGGGTCAGGGTGAGTTGGGTTGAGGGTACTCACTAGGGTTGGATCGTGCGGATCAAGATGGATTGGGTCAAAGTCAACTCTATTTATACTCGCCAAATCTCAAAAATTATAAGTTGTAGTGATTCAAACTCATGCCTCCTACCATGGCCACATCTGATTAGACTTCCAAACCACCATGCCCCATTTCATTTTGAGATTAAAAGTGAAATAAAATACATTTTATTAACTTTCGTGTTCACATGCAATTTTATACAAAAGCACTTTCGCAAAAGCAATTTTATGAAAAGGACTTTTACGAAAGCACTTTTACACAAAAGCACATTTATAAAAAGTACTTTTACACGAAAGCACTTTTATAAAAAATATTTTTACAAAAGCAATTTTATTAAAGTACTTTTATGAAAACACTTATGAAAGCATACAATCACTTTTATAAAAGTACATTTACAAAAGCACTTTTATAAAAGTACTTTTATGAAAGCACTTTATGAAAGCATAAAAGCACTCTTATTAAAGTGCTTTTATGAAAGTACATTTATGAAAGCACTTTTATAAAAGTATTGCGAAAGCACTTTTATAAAAGTTTTGCATTTTTTACATTTTTTGCAAATTGTTGTTATTTTCTGTAATTTTTTGTTTTTTCTGAATTTTTTGCATTTTTTTGGTATTTTTCTACATTTTCTAAAATTTTCAAGTATTTTTCTGCATTTTTTACAATTTTCTGGTTTTTTTACCTATTTTTTATTTTTTTGCAAAAGTTCTAAATTTTTTGTAATTTTTTAATTTTTTTTTGTATTTTTTGTATTGTTCTATAATTTTTGGTATATTTTTGCATTTTCTGCATTTATCTACAATTTTTGCATTTTTTGGTACGAGTTGACGTGACTCATTTTTGTCACATGATAGTCTTGAGAAAGATTATGCTCTCAAAATTCATTATTTTGGGTATACAGCCATCGTGACCCATTTTTGTATTTATAATTGAGGGTAGATGGGTTAATATGGGTGAGGGTGGTTAAGGGTCAATATGGATGGGTCAAGTGGGTCAATATGGGTGGGTTAGGGTTAAGGTGGATTATGACCCTTTAACAAAGATTGATGATAGGTCATGGTGGGTCAGTGGGTCAATATGGGTGAATTGGTATTCAACCCTTACCCAACCCAACCCACACATTTGCACCCCTAGGCTTAAATATCCACGACCAAAAGTGATTGTACCTGCAATTCAACACAAGCCAAAGTTCTCTCTCCCTCCCCACCTACTTCTCCCATTTCCTCTTAAATCTCTTTGAACCCCCTTTGACCATTTCTACTGAAACTTGTGGAGTGTTTGAACACTACAAATTTTGGATATCAGGTGGTAGATTCTGAAATAGACGGAGCTGGGTTTTTGCTGGTTGTCCCTCAACAACCCCAAAAATCGCCATCAAAGTATTGTGTTGGAACTGTAGAGGGTTGGGGGTCCTATTACAGTTCGCGAGCTGGCCTAACTAGATCTCCCGCATACATAGACCTGATGTTATTTTTTTTATCAGAAACTAAGGCTAAGGAGTGAGGGTAAGGTAAATATAGTGAGGTGGTTGAGGCTGAAGGGCGGAGGGGTGGTTTAGTTTTGGCATGGAGAGAGGGACTAGATGTTGAAGTTTGATTTCCCTATACAAATTTAATAGCATCCATGGTGAAGGGGTACCCAAGGACAGAACAAGGTTTCTAAAAACGGACCGAACGAGGAACCATTCTGAGGTCCAGTTCTCGGGTCAAATAGTCCAATCATTTGGATCAAACGGATGGCCCACTCTGACAAAAAAATAAAAAATGGCCAAAACCATTTTTAGGTTGATGGTTCAACAGTTCTACCACCCAAGTAATCAGTTCACTGACCAAATCAACAGTTTTAGGGTGAAACTGACGACCAATATTCCCAGTATTTCCGGTCCAACCGCCTGATCTGGTCCAGTTTTTAAAAAACTTGGAGAGAGGCTTGATCGAATGTTGGCAGGTGAATGGATATTGTGCAGATTAAATGAGAAGAAAATTAGCATATCATAGTGAAATCGAAATACAATCAACGTTGGAACAACCATCATGACAACCCACCGGAACAATTTTTGAGAACAATTTACTTATCAAGTTGCTCAAATTCAAATCAATTTACATATCAAGTTCCATAAGACGGTTCACATTTTTTCCTACGCAAGTGAAGGAACATTAATCCTTCGTGAGGAATGCTGATTAACCCCATGGTTTTTACATAGCCTGAAACAGAACACAAGAGGTTCTTATCGTAAACTCATCCATGCATTTGCAGTGTGACATTTCGTTTCCATACCTGTCTGTCTCTTCACGCGTCTTGTTTTAAGGACAAAAAAGAAGACTTTGAATTGAAGGTCTAAATTTTTAGGTAGCGCTTCTTTGTATCACCGGATGAAGCGTCACTTACAGGTTACAACAAATAGCAATTGCAAAAGCAAACAAAGTGGCCCCATTTCATAATTAACGTTTTTCTTTCAGATTATAAAAAAAAAAAAGACCTCAGATTGATTTACCTAACAGGATCCTAACATCCCTATCTAGTATGAAAGGGGAAAAAAATAAAGATGCACTCATATGGCAATACAATTTTCTACCAGAGTTATATTTGATTGCGCAAAATTGAGGAATTCCTCGGATTGATTTCTCATCTCAGATCGATCAAAAATGGAGATCTTGAAAATTGAATTGACATATCTTATTCTGAGAGCTTGAGGGATTGCACAGCAACTCCATTCCGAGCAGCTGGAATACGTCCCCACCTTCCCAGACGTGGTTCCTGCAGCAAGATACATTCATAAATAAGAAATAAGCGAATAGATTATCATATGAAACTACAGTAATATCGTTAGGTTTGACAATACATAAGAGATGGAACTGTCTAGACATTTTGGTCTCATAGCACTTTGGCTTTTTCTCGTGTTTCAAGATTTTATCACCTATCCCTACTTTCGCACTAGGATTGCTACCCACAAGATACCACAGCCACACATCAGGAACATCTCCTATACTTGCATGTTATCATTCATGGGGAGATGTTCCCAATGTGTAGCTGTAGTGTCCTGTGGGAAGAGTTCCTGCAGGTAGCAGATCCAAAGAGGATTAATTCCACCCAAAATCACAATTGTTTTTCTAAAGTAACACATGTGAACATCTAGACTTGTGAATATCTTGCCAACTAAGGGGTGGGACAGTTGGTAGGTAGGTTCATTCCAGTATAGACGCAGATTCAATACCTGCAACCACCGGCTTTGAGGGTGGTTATTAATGTGGTGTGTCACCAAATACCAAAAAATAGACTTGTATCTTTAAAAGGCCTAATTGGAACCTCTCTCCTCACGTGTGTTTTATGCAGAGCAAGTTGTGAAGCTACCTTTCACTTACTAACCACAAGTCCACTAGTTTCTGGAATTTGGGAGTTCGTCTTTTCATTGATGTAGATGGAATCCCTCAATAAACTCGGAAGCCTCTTTCAAACATCATTTTTCACCCTACCTAAGAAAAGAGGTAGAATCTTGTAGAGGTAAACTAGAGCGAGAGTGGCACTTTCTATACATTGATGACATCTTTAGAGTGTGAAAATTCATCCTTTGTTCTTCTTTGGCTAGAACACATCACACTTCTTCATGAACTTGTCAAAATGAATTTTGATGGGAACTTGGACAATCCAAGGAACTCAGCCACAGGAGTTGTCTTCAACAACTGCTAAAAAACCATAGTGGCACTACTTTTTGGACCTATAGGACATTGTGACTCTAGAAGGGCTAAACTCATAGCCAATGTTCAATGCATATCAAATGTTAAGTATATCAGAAAAACAAATTTAAGAGACATCAAGATATACACGCCAAGGTAAGCATGGATATAAACGATAAATTAAGACACATATGGAAACGCTATAGATAATTCAATAAATGATAAAACTACATCAATATCATTAAATAAAAGGGCTAATGGGCTATATATGCATAAAAATCATATGCTTTAATGGTTTTTATAAAGAAACATATCATAATCAACATACAGGAACATAAAGGTACTATTTTGTATTTAATTAAACATTTATTTTTTATACAAAATACAAACCAAAGAATTATTGAATGAAACATTTTTTCTACAACTTTTAAACAATTATTTATATCTTATTCAAACAATCATTTTGCATTTTTATTCCAAAACTTACAACAAAAATAAAAAATAAATATGTAATAAAAATTCATTAAGTCAATGGATATGTTAAATCATTCATAAATTTTCAACAAAGTAAATATTTATGCTTAGATCACACCAGAAATTAGAAAATAAATAAATATTTTTTATTCTGAAGATTACAAAAAATATAAAATAAATATTTCACAAGAAATTTCAATAGATCTATGAATATGGTACACATCCATAGGTCTAAGGCATAGTAAATATTTATGGTTAACCACAAAAAAAATTAGAAAAAATAAACATTTCTTACAAAAAGTAGAATAAATATTTCACAAGAAATTTCAATAGATATATAGGTATGGTAAATCATAGAAAAAATGAAAAAGAAATAAATCCTTTTTATTCCGAACATTACAAAAAATTTAAAAAAAAATCAATATTTTACAAGAAATTTCAATAGATCTATGGATATGGTAGATCACCCATAGATCTATAGCATAATCATTCTTCATGGGCAGAGTGCACTAAAAATATAAATTTTTTTTATTTTTGTTATTTTATACTTTTTGAGTTTTCATAAAAATATACATAGATATAATTAGAGCACCAAAAAATGTAGGATTCACCACAAAGAGAGTAGATCAATGTATAATTGTATATAGAAACACTTCCAAGCATCTAAACCGGAAAAAAAAAAACAAACAAAACAAAATATTGCAACATATTATCAAAGAAATTGATAAAAAATCCTATTTTCGCAATTTTTGAAGAAAATCGAAAAAACTTCAAAAAACTTGAGTTTTGGAAGTTGTTTTTGGACTTTTTCTTTGAAGAACTTGCAATCTACGAATGTGTAGGGATGATCTGGTGAGTTTGGAAGAGGAAAAAGGCTTTCGGAGAGGGTTAAAACCCTTCTTTCTCAGAGGTTTTTAATTCATCTTCTGCCTACAGGTAACTCATATTGTATCACCCAATACACTACTGTACTGGTAGCATATCAGCCAATACAGCCACAAAACAGGCTGATACACCCTGGTATGATACAATCACGATACAGGGTCGACAAAAGAATTTTGTAACATTCCCCATTCCGGACCCGTAAAGATACAATACGTATCAGCCAATATAGGCTGATACATTGCAAAATTTTGAACCTTGCTCACAGCTGTCTTGCAAGGATTAAGACTAAGAAAACCCCTTTATTACAGAAACGTCATGGTGGAGGGGGACTCAAAGATTGTGGTGCATTGGGGTCTATAAGTATATGTGTTATGAGGGAAATATAACGTTGGCCAGTAAAATAAGAGCAACCTTCTGCTCTCCACAGATACTTCAACAACATTGCTTACACTTCAGCACAAGGGTTAAATAGTCCCCAGTTGAAATGTTTTCTTTTTTTCTGATAAATAAAAAGACAATCATTTTACCATTAAGCTAACATAGCAAATGAACACATGATACTAACTGGTTAAGGTAGCAAGGAATGGAGCCCATTAGAGCAATCAAATCCTTGAACTAATACTCTCTGTGTTTGTACAGGTTTCCCTACCTTTTCCTTCAAAACAAATACAGCCTAAGTTTACTCATGAAAGTAGGATTAGAATTTTTCGATTTCATGTTCTATTTAAACCCAGCCCATTGTCAGACATGGAAAAACTTTGGCTGTTGGGTGTATGTAATTACCATTCACCACTTAATGGGCATTTGGTAGCATGAAATCAGGTTGGTTCAGGCCTTGCACTGGATGTTGTTTCCACTACATCCATTACATATGTCCAATCTCAAGGGTGATTTTGAATTTTCAAATGGTGGTCTTCTGGCAATTAAACCACCTTATAAGGACACATGTAAAAGCAATGGTCAGAGCACATCTCTATGTTTACCCATGAGAAGAGGATAATTTATTCTTTTGATTTCTTTTTTTTTTGGAAGGTTAAGGTAATTTTATTGAAACAGAAAAACAGATACAACAGGGCCCTCACCGAAAGAGGGCAGCTGCTGGAATAGTTTTCCACACCAACCCTTTTCATCAGGATTAGCAGCCACCCAAGAGATCAGCTTACTCACAGCCCTTTGCACTAACTCACTTGTGCTTTTAAACTTGTTACAGAAGATTCTGTTGTTTCTTTCAGACCAGATGGACCAGAGAACAGCTGCTGGAATAGTTTTCCACACCAACTTTCCTTTCTTCTTAAGACCCCCCACCTTCCAATTGCACAAGTCTTTAACCATACTCGGCATAAACCAGCATATTCCCACAGCTTTCAGGAAGTGCTCCCATACCTAGAGGAGATAGGACAGTGAAGACAAAGATGATCTGTAGGTTCTGGCTGAGACCCACAAAGCCCACAAAAGATATCCAGAAGCTGAACACCTCTTCCTTCCAGATTAGATCTATAAAGGCACTTATCTAGAGCCATTGTGCAAACCAGAAAATTAGATTTTGAAGGACTGGTCGGATTCCAGATCTGACTGAGAGGGAAGCTTGTAGAACCTGCACTGCTAAACTTGAGGGCCAAAGATTTGACTAAAAAGCAGTCATCACCATTCCACTTCCAGCTCCACTCGCCCTCCAAGTTAGTATTTATCCACTGCCCCTGTAAGAGCTCCAACAACGCCACAACCTCATCCAATTCCCAGTCAAACAGGTTCCTCCTAAATTGAGGGGTCCAGGTCATACCATTTCAAAAACAGTGTAGGAGTCAGCCACCGAAGCATCATGACTAGCAGAACATTGTAACAGGAGGGGATGCCTCATCCAAGGGACCCTCCAAACACCAAGGGTCCTTCCAAAAATTAATTCTGTCACCTTTACCACCTTAAAGCTTACTCCTTCCAAAACAGTAGGCAGATTTTTCATTATGCCTTTCCACAAGGAGTAGCCCCAATTTGAAGGGGGATCACAAGACCTCCAATTACCCCACTCCACCCCAAACTTTGCAGCCGATAGATTTCTCCTCCATGCTGTTCTTTCTCAAGCAAATCTCCAGATCAATTTGCTGAGATGAGCAAAATTGAACAATTTCAGCTTCCTAATACCCAGTCCACCTTCCTCAATAGGGAGTCATACTTGGTCCCAATTGACTAGATGAATTTTCTTCTCTTCTTCCCAACCTTTCCACAGAAAATTCCACTGTAATTGTTCCGGTCTTTTTTCTATTTTAGTTGGGATGGGAAAGAGAGACAAAGTATGCCAGAAGGTTGGAGAGTGTGCTTTTAATTAGTGTCACTCTACCCCCAACCGAGATATTTGGCTTTCCAAGAAGAACATTTTCTACATCCTTTCTATGACTGGAACCCAAATAGCTGAAGACAAACATTTTTCCCCAAGAGGTCAGCCCAAGTATTTAACAGGGAGGAAGTCAATTTGGCAAGCCAACATCCTAGCACACTCCTCCAAATTAGACACTTGGCCCACCGGAATAATCAGACTTTTACCCAAATTTACTTTTAGCCCAGAGACAACTTCAAACCAGCTCAGAATCCCTACAAGGAACTCCAACTGATCAGGGGAGTCATCCACAAAACAAAGAGTATCATCAGCAAATTGAAGGATGTTCACCTTTTACTTCCCGGTAGCAAGGGCAAAGCCTTCCCAACAAACATAAAGAGCATCCCTCTTACTAAAACAGAGAAAGAATTTCCATGATACAGATGAACAATAGGGGAGAGAGAGGGTGTCCCTGTCTTAACCCCCTAGAACTTTCAAAGAAACCTACAAGCTGTCCATTTATCAGCACAGAAGATTTGGGGGAAGAGATGCATACTTCAATCCAATTCCTCCTCCACTTTTGATCAAAGTTCATTTTCTCAAGCACAAAATCCAAACACCTCCTATTTACATGATCATAAGCTTTCTCAATGTCCAGTTTGCACGCCAAACCAGGAATTGCCTCTCTCCTTCTAGAGTCAATAAGTTCAATAACTACAAGAACAGAATCTAGTGGTTTAGCTCTCTGCTTCCAATGTTATCTCCTTGACTGCCAACTTATTATACAAAGTTTTTGCCTGAGATCTTTTCAGCTTTAGAGCATCCGATAAAGGACCTAATTCTTCCACTCTATCAATATCTTCAATTACACTTAGATAGGCTCTTTTCTCATTTTCTGATGTCAAGCTATTTTCTAGCTTCCAAAGTTTTGTTTTGTCCTTGATTGCTCCCAACTTCTTCGCTAGGATAAAAGAGCTAGTTCCCTCCACATGGAAATCACACCAAACTGCCTTCAATAAAGGGACAAAATTGTCTTCTTCAAACCAAGCATTCTCAAATTTAAAACGAGCCTTTACTTTCTCCCGGTTTCCATAGATTAGTTGAATTGGAGTATGGTCTGAAACCGGCCTGGGAAGAGTAATCTGCCTGAAATCAGGGAAAATATCATCCCAATTAACAGGAACAAGAAATCTGTCCAGCCTTACCAAAGTAGGAGCATCCTGGTTATTAGTCCAGGTAATAATGGGGACCACAGAACAAAGCTATTAATAAAGTCTGCAAACAATCTTATAGACCTTGTTCTTCTGCCTCTGGAATTTTTTTCTTCCACCGATAATGTAGCGTTGAAATCACCAACTATAACCCACGGACAGGCGATAGAGCCTCTCAAATCTGCCAGTTCCTCCCAAAAGGCATTCCGCAGGCTTGAGTCTGTTGGACCATAAACATTCATTACTTGGACAATATTCCCATCGGCAAGCTCATCCGCATAGATTAAGAATTGGCCAGTTCTGTGGAACACAAATCAACAGACTGAAGGGTCCCACATAATCACCAAACCTCCAACAGTTCCAATAGTCGGTTTTTCTCCCCATCGAACCTGACCTTCTCCCCAAACACTACGAACAGTAGAAGCATCAAGCACTTCCATTTTGTTTCTTGCAACAAAACGATTTTTGAATTGGAATGCTTAAGAACATCACACACCACCAATCTTCTCCTACTTCTTACAACTTCTTCGAACCCCTCACTACTCCCTACCTTATCGTTCAATCCCCAAGTGAGTCTCATCATCTCTCTATTCTTTTTCGAAGGTCTCCCACCCCCCACCCCCCCTTTCTTGGCTGCTAATTTCCCTTTCTCCATAAGTATTTTTTTCTTAACCCCTTCCAAATAATTAATCATCTCCTCTTCCAACCCCTCCATTGCCACCCCTAAAAACTTCCCCAAGCCCAACAGCTTCAAAGAAACCCAGAAAGAGGAAGGACACATATTTGACTTACCTCCCTGATCCACCAAAGCAACAAAGTTCCCTTTTCTGTTCGCTAGCGGAATATTCTTGCCAGAGGGTAAGACAACTTCGGTCTTGGCCCCGAGAGAACAGGTGAGCTATTCTCTTGCTGGTTGTCAATGAGTTGCACTTCGTTGCCTACAACTGCAATAGGCGAAATCTCCAGCAGATCTTCCTGCAATCGCACCAAAGGGAGTTGCTAGATTTCCACCAACGAAGGTTCCTGAGCCGATGCCATCAATGAAAGGGGAGGGGGAGGGGACTAGACTAAGCCTCTATTGCAGTGGCCCTTTCCTCTGTCGCCAACATAGGAGTGGTAGACTCTTGAATTGGCCCAAGGCACAAGCCCTCGATTTGCTTTGAGAGTTGGTTGAGCCAAGCCAGACCCAAGTGGACCAAGTTGTTGATAACTGATCTACGCAAGAGAGTTCTGGGCTCACTGGCAGCTTTTTGATATTGTCCAGACCGCTGATCTAAAGCCGGGTTGGGTTTCTTCACTTGCATATCCTGGATCTAATTCAATGGATCCGGATTGGGTAAATATCCAGATCCTACCACCTACCGTGCCTCATTTAAATCATTCAGCAGAAATCCCGCCATGGGAGCCACTTGTAATTCACGAATGCAGTCCTTAATCAAAGCTTTCAACTCTTCGACACCTGATCTTCCCCCTAATAGGCCAAATTTGAAACTATGTCCCCACTCCTCGGTAACTCCCTGGCCTCTCATCCTGACCCTCCAAGCTCTTTAAGATCAAACAACCTTGAAGCCTTCTATCCATCCCCTCCTCGCCTCCTCCAACCACCGGCAAAAACGAATCCTTCAACAGGAACCTTTGAGACGATAGAAAGTTAGGTGAGACACTCCTCTAAGAGCCTTTGGAGAAGTGACTTTCCCCTTCGTCTTCTATTAATACTATTTCTGAGATGTCCGGACTGAAAACCCCTTGCTTCTGGAGTTCTCCACTCTCTAGCCTCCTGACCTCCATCAACTAAGTGAAGGCAAGATTTCAGGCCAAATCCAAACCGAGAAAAGGGCTTCACCAGTTGCAATCTCAATCTTCTCCAGTATAGCATTGCCCCCTCACACCTTCATTCAAACCCATTCGCACGTAGTAAGCTTAGATGGCAACTCATTTGTTTCAATAAAGCCACCACATAAATCTCTGATGGCCTTCATAACACTCGGATACCACATAAGTCGTAGGAAAGTCCTCGCTTCCACCCCTTGGAGCTCTGTGACAAGAATCAACTTGTCCTCAACCTTCTTCATCTCAATGTATTGTTCCCAAAATCAAGCCAGGCAGCATCCTCTGCAGCATTACTATAGGAAAAGTTAGGTCTCGTCCTCACATCGACCCTTGCCCTATTGTACCAGTTTTCCGCCTCCCACCTCTTCCCAACGAAAGATCTACAAAAGACACCCAGTCACCCCTGCAATACATTTGATGCACACAAGGGATGGATCACAAACACTCCTTCAGTTACAGGTGCTAGAAACTATTACGGAATAGTCCGACGAAGAATGGGCTTTTTCTAGTTCATGGGTTTTTTTATTTATTTTATCAATAACCACGATTTCATGGGCTATTTAAACACAAATTATATGCAAAGAATATATCTCATATATAGATTACCTGAGCACCTAAAATCACAAATTGAGTCTAGAGTTGACCAACTTTTCAATCAAAATCATGTATACTTAGTTTTCCGAACATATCTATCTACTCGGATTTATAACTCAGTTTGACATGTTTTTTGAGTTCTAATAATGGTGCAAACAGGTAGAACTTCAGAGGGTCATCACTTTGCATTGCATGACAGATTTCAAGATTGAACCGACATATTCAAAGTTTCAAGTATAACAGTGAAAAAAACTATAGGATAACTAAGACGACATATTTTCAAAATAAAAATAAGATAAGAACAAGATTTTACCTGCCCAACTCCAGCTAAAAGGAACCGTCCAGATTTTGAAAATGCTAGAGAATTTACAAATCCAACCTGTATTCAGAAAAGTTATGGAATCAGTGTAGATAATTTAAAGCCACATTAAAATACTTTCTCAAAAAAAAATGTTCATAATCATCCAAGCCTTATCACAATTATATGGGGTTGGCTACATGAATATTGTTGTGCCATTCTGTTCCCTGATGCCATATCTATTGTCTACCCCTACCCCGTCTAGGCTTTTAACTTGCAACAGATCACTTCTTATGGATGTTGTCAAAGGTCTTCTATGCACATGACCAAACCAGCTTTGTTTACTTTCTCTCATTTTATCACACCTATTGTAGCCAATGTTTTCAACCGGCAATTGATCCGGACAGTTGAACTGTCACCTAGCCCTATTTCTGGGTCCAGCTTTCTAAAACCCACCTTTTGACCAAAAATTGTTGACTTGGTCAAAAGTCAAATCCCATTCAACCCGGGTAGTTGAACCATCACCAGGTCATGGCTTACCAGTTACATGTATAATAAAACTTCCCGAGGCCATAACTTTGCATCAGGGGTGATCTTTTATTATTTTGGGTCACCTTTTGAGATCTGTGCATTCCAAGGAGCCCTTCCTCACCATTTTGCCAAAAAAAAACACCATTTTTTTAATCAATAAAAAAAACACCATTCAAATCCCAAATTTTAGCTTTTTATTCATAAAAAAGTTAAAACTGAAATAAAAAAATATAAGATAGACATAAAATAATACATATATTACATGTAAAATGTAATTATACATTATTTATTCTAATTCATCAAAAATATATTATTTATTCTATATAACATGTATTTATGTATATGCATGTATATAATATTACATGTGTACATGTATATATATAATATTATATATACATATATATACCTGTATTCATGTATATATGAATATATATACATATATTATATGTCTACATGTATAATATTATATATATATATATATGTATATATATAATGGCAGGTCACAGATTAGGGATGGCAATTTTCCCCATTTCCCCGATCCCCGTGGGGATCCACCCCAAATGGGGCAAGGATGGGGATGATTTCCCCCCCACGGGGACGGGGATGGGGAAATTTTCATCCCCATTAGCGGGGCCGGGGCAGGGACGGGGAGAGCACTCCCCGCCTCGCAAGGACCCCGATCCCCGTTTCGTGGGATCCCCACTAATATATATGTATATATGTATGCATACATTATATATGTAAATATGTACACATACATCTATATATTAATATTTTTTAAAATATGATTGAATATTTTCTAATATGAGTGTAAATGTTAATCTTTTTTTGATAATTTGTAAATGTTAATTATTTTATTTTTATTCTTTTTAAATAAAATAAAAAACAAAAACAAAATATTTAGCATTATAAAAAATCACGGGGAATGGAGACCCCCGTGGGGATGGGGATAACCTTGTCCCAGTAGCAGGGACGGAGACGGGAATGAGGATGGGGATTTTCGTGGGGACGGAGATGGGGAGAGGCTCCCCATCTCCGCCCCGTTGCCATTCCTATCACAGATTGATCAAAAAATGACATGTCACAGTCTGACCCGTCTAGTTGAACCATTGATCCACGACCCAGAGGCAAAAGAGGTTAGCCTCTAAGTTGGTTTTAAACCCCCCTCCCCCACACACACATGCACGTTTCCATCACACAAAAACACAATACACACATGCAACTACTTTATAGAGATCTAGACCTTTGGTAGGGATGGCAATGGGGAGGGTTCGGAAGGGTTTTGCAAATTCTAGACCCTACCCGCCTCCCTAAACCACCCAACCTGTACCCTCCCCAAAAGCCATAGTGGGTAATTTTCAGAATCCCAAACCCTCCCTGAACATGAATTTGGGCCCATCTTCAAAGCATCTTGAATCAGCTAATTGAAGAGACTCCACCCTCTTCTCTATTCATTCCATCCTTGACTTTCTACCTCTTTCACTTGTTCATCCTCTTGAATATGCTACTTGGTCCTGCACCAACGAGGACGTCATTCAATCTTGAAAAGACCTTGGTAACATGAATCAACTGACCATAGTTTGAACCCTTCACATTTTTTGGGTTCAGAGGAATTTTAATTTTGGTCCTATCCTCTCTTCCCATATCTTCTTTTCTTCTCCTGGCCTCTTTCTTCCCAATCTCCCAACTATTACTTCTTTATAATTTTCCGCCTTATATAATTCACCAATGCTCCACACGATTGTCATCAATTACTAGCTTCACCTCTTTAACCATATTTGAAAATTCTTTTGGATAGCTGTGCAAACATTTTGAATTTTACTTTTTTCTGTGTAAATAAAATAAACTAATGTTGTAGTCATTTTATCACATAAGAGGGCTAAAACTTTCAATTGTAGACACAGGTTCCATAGATGACCCTGTGGATTGGCTTCAACCAGGGTTGCATATTTGGATCTTGATATCCAGTTTCTATTATTTTGGGATGGGGGATGGGGTTGAGCCCATTCTGGGCAACCTTCACAAGGCTTAATCTTTTCTTATATTTGATAGGAAATGGTAACCTTTGCAAGGTTTAATCTTGAAGTGACAAAAAACCTCAAAACAGCCAGATTGAATGCTTTTAGAACCACATCAACCCATGACTTGACAAAATATCACCAACAAAGGATCTCCTTTTCTCAACAGTTAAAGAAATAATGTTCCTTTATGAACAGTCTATATAACAACGCAAGCATCTTCAATGTTTTGAAGCTTATTTAATGCCTTCATATTTTTCAACCAGAAAGAATTTTACAAACCTTGGGTATTTTTCATGTTATGTTCTGAATTTCCTACACATTCTTGTTCTTATTTTCTGAAACCAACAGCTTTTTTTCTTTTTTTGCAATCTCTGTAAGTTTTTTTTCAAATACTACTGAAGTCCTCTTAATTATTATTTGAAATAGATTATTTAAGTGTTGGTCTAAATCTGAAACTGAAGACCTGGGAGTTTGAAATTATAGATCAAATACTGAGAATGATGAACCAGACCACTCTTTGTAAAAGCTTCTGTCCACACATTGATAGAAGGTTACCAGAACCAGAAAATAATTGGCGCATACCTATGCATGATAGAGGCATATCAAAAGAGCTACCTAGTTAGAGTGTAGCTTACCAGTGGGAGATCATATAAAGGTCGAATGCTTTTGGTATCACTTTCAAGAGCCCAAAGACGGACCATACCATTACCAGCTCCTGATGCAGCAAGATCACTACCTCTGCAAACAGTTACTGAGCTGACCCATGAGTTTGCCAATGAAGAACTACTATCAGGCAAAAAGCGGCCATTTTCTGTGGGTCAGAGTCACAAACATCTAATCAGAATGGTGAAGACCAAGGTGCAGAAAATAGTTTAAGAATATTACAGCAATTACATGCACATGTAAGAAGAAAAAATAACGAAGCTTGGAAATTGGAATTTATGATTATATATCTCCTTTTTGACAGAAAAAAGTCAATTATCAATGAAGTGAAACTTTCTAAAAACAGCCACCAAATAATGACATCAAGAAAGAATAGCAAAAATTAATCAAAGCAACCTAAATCCCAATCACACTATTTCATATATTATTTTACTGTATCCAGAAGTAAAATAAGAAAATAAAAGTTTACCCAATATATTTCCATTTGAAGTTCTTCCATCATCCTTTTTAGCCATCTTGTCATGATGAGCCAATGTAGAATGTGCATTTTTTACTATGTATGCAGGCTTCTTCCGCAGTACGCTCCAAAGTTCAATACTACCATCATCTGACCCTGATAAGAATTCATCATTGCTAATGAAACAGCAGCACTCTAAAGATGATGCGGGAGCACGGAAAACTAATTGTGATTCCTCTGGGACCTAAAATTTTGGAATTAAAAAGGTAACATGAATCAATGCACCAACTATGACCAGGAAAGAGATATACATATGAAGTGTGCTTGCAGTAAAGATATAAAAGACGCAATGAATAACATCTGTGCATGCACACATATACAAAGACATGCACAGAGCAGGCAAGCACATACAAACATGAGCATCCATATTTAAAGATTGGATGGAAAACCAATAAAGGAGAAGACTTAAACGAAAAAACTGATTAACTATGATTAAAAATAACAAAAAAGCATAACTTGTGCATCATACAGGTGGCAGGTTAGCAGTTCAGTCATCCAAGGGAAATGGATCAACCCATGATATGCAATAGTTCAATAATAAAACTTAGGGTAAAATATAAAAACCTCCCCTATGGTTTCATTTTCACAAAAACCCCCTTGTAGTATTGAAAAAACCTGCAGTTGCCTCCCTTTTTTTATTGTTATGAACAAAAAAATGTTGGTCTAATGCATTAGTTTTTCTTAGTTGGTACGACTGTTCTAGCTGTTCTTATCCATCTTACCCTTACATCTATCAATTTACATGAAATTTTACTAAAAATACCTCCAAAAGAATTTTTTACTTTTAATTAAAGAAGATCTCCAAGTTATATAGAAAAGAATAAAGTAATTTTGCTCTATAAAAACATTAGGCCTAGTGAAGATTAGAAGGGCAAATCTGGTATTTTAAATTATATTGAAAGATTCCCTAACAAGTTGTAAGGGTAATTTCGTAACTTTGAAGTCTTCATTACTGAAACAAAGATGGAAGGAGTATGAATTGATCGATAAAGTTGTACTATTATATCTGGTGATCCACAATGCAGCTTAGTTGTATGAATTGATCGATAAAGTTGTTAAGGAAATAAGAGAAGAACATGTGGTGCAAGTAGTTACTGATAACCACTCTACTTATATTGCTATAGATGATCTTTTGAAGATAAAGAAGAATAACTTATTTTGGACTCCTTGCACTGCTCATTGTTAGACCTCATGTTAGAGGACATTTGAGGATTAAAGTCTACAAAGAGTTGTATTGCCAAGGCAAGACAGGTGACAACCTTTATTTACAAGCGTCCTCTTCTCCTTGCTTATATGAGGGAGAAAGCAAATGGAAGGGGTCTTGTTAGATGTATGTTACAAGGTTTGCCACTTTCAAGGAGTCATTGCGTTCTTTATTTGTTAGTGATGTATGGAATAAAAGTAAATGGGCAAACAAACCAAAAGGCTTAAGAGTCTCAAGTACTATTCTTTCTATTACATTTTGGAAAAATGTAAGGATTGCCCTTTTAGCTTTCCAACCAATTATGGAGGTCTTACGGATGATTGATAGTGATGAAAACCTGCAATGGGGTACTTTTACTATGCAATGGAATGGACAAAAGAAAAGATAAAAGAATTTTTGGTGGGAAAGAAAGAGAATACTCAAAAATAAAAAGAAAGAGAAAATAAGCCCATTCTAGAAATCTTTTAAGAGCAATGGAATAATATGATGCAACATCCTTTGCACATTGCCTCGAGGTCGAGGTGTTGAGGGAGAGGATTGCCTCTGTAGGTGTTGAATGCAGTCGAAGGGGTGATGACTCTTCCAATGAGAGCATTGGGTCTATGAGGCCAAGGGAAGTTGAGGAGTCCTTGGGGTCCCCTGAGGTTGTCGAGGGCGAGGGGTAATGGTGGGGTGTCTTCCCCGCTCTGGTTTGGATTGTATTCTTGGCCTTGAGCAAGTAAAGGCCCAGGCCAAGAAGTACTTCATCCCTCAAACCTACAGGCTTAGGATCCCCGATACCGATGATCGGTCGTGGATGCCAGAGGAGGGGGAAATCAGTGTCTACCAGCATTACTTAGAGTTTGGCTTTAGGTTTCCCCTCCATCCCCTTATCCCTGAGCTGCTGAGGTGGTATGCCATCTCGATCAATTAGCTGGCCCCAAATGCCCTCAAGACCATTATTGCAATGTTGGTGATGGCTCGGCTCTGAGACATGGTGCTGACCCATAAAATTTTCTATGCCATGTTTGTGCCAAGGCCACACCCTTATGAGGCGGGCATTTATTACTTCCAAGATTGGCGCGACCAAGCTGTTGACAACCCTATATCGGTGCACCATTGGAAGAGCAAGTTCTTTTGTCTCCTGTCCCGAGGGTTGGTCATTCAAGTTAGACTGGGGGAGTTGAACTTAACCATGGAGAATCCCACTCCTTACCTTCGGGATGATGAAGTTGAGGTGTTTACCCACATCCGAGTGTCGGGGATGATTGAGGCCAAACCCCTAGTGGAGGAAGAGTTACCACTAGTTTTTGCTGGTCTTAGCCTTGCCAACCTCGGTAGGAGAATTCTTGTTGTCAGCTTTCCTTTTCCTTTATGTGAGTGCTAATGTTTGCTTTGTTTTCTTGTAGAGATGTTGCTCGACACCAAGAAAATGTTGCTAGAGAAGGAAAAGTCCAAGAAGAGGATGTCGGGTGACGGCCCTTCATAGAGATAGGCACCACGGGAGGTGGTGCCAGCCGAGAGGACACCTTGGCTGCTAGTCCCAGCCGACGTTGGGGGCGACCGAGGGTGACCAGCGTCGATTCTCAATCCAACCCTCTTTTATAAAACTAAAGTTGAAGATGAAGCATTAATTGGGAAATTTGAGATGGGCTTTATGGATTGTATTGAGAGGATTGTGAGTAACATTAAAATTCAAGATAAGATCTCTCATCAATTGGAAGAATATAAGCATGCCCGTGGTGCATTTTCTAAGGAAATGGAAATTAGACAATGGGAAACAAAACAACCAAGTAAAATCTATCTCTATAATCTTATGGTCAATTCATTAATATTTTTATATTGTTATTTTAAATTTGTATTCTCTAATTTTATATTTTCTCTATTTTGTAATTTGTACTTTGTAGTTGATTAGTGGCATACCATTAGGTGTATTGCATTACGCATATTAGATCTCATGTGTCTATGAACGTAACTAGAGCACCTTTAAGCATGTAAGTAATTTTATTATTAATTAGTGGATTTATAGTATCTAGTATCAATATTGTCGACATTTTCCTCTTTGTCTCCTAGTTCTGGAAACGTATCAAGGCAGCCACCTTATGAACTCTCTGGGAGGAAAGGAATGAAAGAGTCTTCTTAGAGAAGGAAAGAAGCTTGCATGAAGTGAAGGGTTGTACTCTAACAAGAGCAATACATTGGCTGAAAACCTTGGGTATATTTGCTGATTTCTCTTTTGATGACCTGTGGAGGAATTGGTCAGTAATAGCTAATACTTCTACCAAGAAGAATAGAAGATTGTTAGAATGAAATCCGCCTCCAGGTGTCATTAAGTTAAATTTTAATGGCCACAGCCATGGTAACCCTGGGCCTTCAGGTATAGGGGGTGTTTTGAGGAATAATTATAGCAACATCATCTCCTTATTCTCAGGACCAATGGGAGTGGGGGACTCTACAAGGGCAGAAATACTACCTAGTGTACGAGAGATCCATAGTGTCAACCAACTTGGGGTGGAACATCTCCTAGTTGAAGGGGACTCCCAGGTGGTAATAGGGTGGCTTCTAAACCCGAATGCTACCATTTGGGGCTACAAAGACTTCCTCAAAAAAGTAAAGTGGTTAACCAGTAATATGAGAGTTGAGGTTAAATGGGTAAGAAGGCCGGCTAATACTATGGCTGATTCTTTGGCCAAACAGGGGGTTTCCAGGGATAGTGTATATACTATGGCTGATTCTATATTCAATAAGTCTAAATCCTTCCGTCAATCAAAACCCGCTAAGTGCGAGTCCTTGGCAAGTAAAATTGGGATAGCGTCTAAATTATGTTCCTCTTATGTATCTTTGCTTCGAACAGTGCTGATATCTAGTTCTCTATCTTGAATATCCTGAACTTGTGTCTCCCTTCGTATTTCCCCTGGACCATTGTCGACTACATCTAGGTCCACCTTAGAGATTGAGGCAAGTCTCACCACTATTTCTTCTTGGGGCCAACAAGAAGGCACTAGAGGGTTCTTCAAACAATATCTGCATTCCTATTAGCTAATCGTTCCACAAATTGTAAGTTTTAGTGGATGAGGCACTTCCGATGCTACTTTCGTCATTCCAAACTTCATCTTGCCTTGGGTCTTCCCAATCATCTTCTTCCTCAAAGTCTTCACACTCGGGCCTATTAAATCTCGGGTTCAGCTTGTCTAGGATTGTGGAGTTCGCTTTCACAACCGGCTTCCATTTCCAATTGCTCTTCAACTGGGCGCTTCCAAAACCAGCATTGTTGAATGCTTTCAAAGGGGTCTTGACAGGGTTTTTTGCGATCGCTGCAACAGAGGAGGTTGCAAGGGTCAATTTGGATGATGATAGACCCCAACAATCATCCCAAGCCTTTGGGCCGGCTTGCTCACATGCATTTTTAAGTGGTCACATGACCTGTTTAGATTACAAGTTGGTGTTGGGTTGTCTAGTTCAACCGATTTAACCCCTTGGTCAAGTTTTAGTGCTCTTTCAAACTTTTTCCTTTATTGTCGCCCCCTCCAGCTGCCACTTCAACATAGGACCTTTTAGTAGCCCCTTGATCAGAGATGGATGGCCCAGATTCTAGTCCCTCTTTAGAATTCTGGCCATCCTCTTTTGATTCTACAGTCAGCACATTTGCCTTCTCTTTGTAAAAATGGTCAGACTTCTCCTTCATGCTTTCCCCTTCCTTTACCTTTGCCACATCATCGTCTTCTACCTCCTGCAAGCTTTTCCAGAGTCTCTCCTCCACCGATGATAGCAACCTGACTACCTCATACATTTCACCTAGTTCTGACCTCACCATTATCAGTATTGACTCTATTTTAACTCCTCCCAATTTCATCAAAGCCGCACTGAGATTGGATAAGTCCAATTCTTCCATGACTCCTCTGTACAGAGCTGCAATTTTCTTAAAGTTTGCAAGGGACCAAAGATGAAATGGGAGCCCTAGCACTTTGAGGCGGAAAATTTCTGTCTGATCTACACAATTTGCATTCGGACACCACTGACTAATCACCATTACTCCTTCAGAAGTCCGAATAGGAAATGCATGTATTTCTTCCACCAGATTGTCTACTTCTAGTTCCATAAGCACCTTATCTTCTTGAAACGATCAAAGATTGAAGTGTCCTCCCACTTTCAGCTTTCGTATAATCTCCTTTGCAACACAGCCCCAACTACCTACTCTTTTGTATGCAAGTATCACATTTTTACACCAGTTCTGGTAGGTTTGATCTTCACTCCCTGCAACATCCTTTTCACCATCTGGATGTGGTTGCTTTTCCGGTGCTTGGTTGGGTTGGATATCTCTTGGTTTTTTTCAATTCTCCATAAAAAGTTCTGCAACTCCCTTATGAACAGCATCCACCCCTTACTCTGTTTTCCCATGGGGATACAAATCAATTGTCTCTTACCTTCGCCGAACCATTCTGAGACTGTTGCGAACCAGCCCTTCCTCTTGAAACGAAGTTCAGCTACGAATACCTTTCCGTTGATTTTGATTGAGTTCTTCTAGGCCTGTGATTTCCTCGAAACTAAAGCTATGTCCAGGAAGCCTTTCAGCCAAGCTGCTACCTCCTTTTGGAGATACACTGTGGCTCTTTTTTTCTTCTCTTATCTTCAGGAACACCAGAGACCTTTTTTCTCACTTCTTCTAGTTTGTATAGCTTTGCTTCAAACAAAACTTCCTTTCTCAACCTTCCCACTACTTCAAACTCGCCCTCCGTCCTTTTCTCCAGCCCTGGCTCCAACACCAGTTCCAAGCTTTGGGGAATCACTAGGGAAAAGACAGTCCTTGCCCTTTTAAACCACCTATCCCCCCTCTTTCTATTCAATTGCAGGAAAGCCATGTGCCAATCCACTATAGAACCTGCTCCATGCTCGTTAAATTAAAAATGGATTTAAACTCTTGCACCAGAAAGCCCATCAGAAGTGATTAGCACTCTTATGCACATCATCTTGAGCCTAGTACAGTAACACGCATTTTTTTCCAAACAAAGGCGGCTAAAGATTTCAGAAATTTTCTCATAACTTCCAGATCACCCACAGAAATCCTAGCTTAGCTCAGTCCTCATTTTCAAGAGAATCAGACTCTACGGTTCCCGAGAAGGATCTCTCATGATTTCCATTTCAGAAAGAACTCTTTCCAGATCTTATTGTTGCCATCAACTTTTGAAAGCCTACACTTACAGAACCTTCATTATCGTCCTACACCCAGATAGCTGGGACCAACATTGCATAATGGCCATTTAACAATTTTGAAAACAAATAGAAATAAAAAATACAAAAGTTATACAAATTTTCTACAAAATTTTTGGAACATCTCTAATATTATATACTCATCCTATTAAACAAAAATTAAGTATAATAAATAAGAAGTGTTTTATTAATGACAAAAATGGAATACAAAATTTTAAACTAACCCAAAAATGAAATGGCCAATTTATCAAAAAAATAAAAATGAAATGGCTTTCCCATCCAAGTGGCAAGTCAACAGTTCAATTGTCCAGGCTAAAGGATAAAACCATGATGTCATAATTAAATTAAAAATTAAAAATAATGGTAATACAAAAAAAAATTGTAGAATTATACAAAAAAACTTGATAGAAAAAATTTGTTTGCATCCTAATATTAAACATTCATCATATTAAACAAAAAAGAAAGTGGACAATGCTTTGAACATGAAAAACCTTAAAAAGAAATAGCATCTACCATTTCAGTTTTTCCTTTTTATTTATCAGTAACTGATCAGAGAACTTTATCACAAATAAAAAAGAAAGAGATCAGCAACTGATAAGAGAACTTTAGTACAATAAAGAAAGAGCTAGAAAATATGCCGGATAGAGAAAAGGACAGGCGAGGATGGCTAGCCAATCCAAAACAATATAGCCAAGAAAAATAATTGCAAGAGACTAGCACAACAATAGATCAAAAAGACCCTTCTACTCGGAAGGTTCAAGACCACTTTTCATTGAGAAAGACAAACAGATATAAATTATTCTGCCTAACTATACTTTTTTCCTTCTGTCTTGCTGCACTTGATTAGATTAGAAACTTTTTGCATCCAAAACCTCTCAGTGAAAGAGAATTGCTCACCTTCCAGAGGCGCATACTCCGATCACGACCAACTGTCAATAGACGCTCTTTCCGTAGGCAATCAATTGTTAATACCTCACTTTGGTGACCAAATAATGTATCCATATAAGCTCTATCTTCTGCATTCCATAGCTTGATTGTTCGATCAAAAGAACCAGAAAAGAGTTGTGGAGTCCCCTGCCTAAAAGCCAAACATGATATCGGGCCTCTATGACCAGGAAATGCCTGTAAAATAACAATTCTATCCACTATCATATGAAATCCTTAAAGCAACAAAGGTATGGAACACGTTTAGATAACGAGTTCAACTATGGTATCAGGAAGGTATGGTACCTGAAAAGCTGATAACCAAGTCAACCGGTATCATCCAATTCGCAAACAACCCAATCATATTCATTCAAATTCACATTGGCTTTTAATTAGTTAAAGTTTTTCAGGTACTACCTTTCTGGTACCATAAAAATTCTCAGATAATTAGGCACATATAGACAATAAGAGGTAAATAGGGGCCAACACTTGGTGCAATGCTAAAATCTCAGGTTGGCAAGTGTGTTAACATGGGTTCAAGTCTGACAGCACCCACTTTATGCAAAAAAAAAAAAAGAAAAAAGAGTCAAAGGTTAAGACCATATCTAGTCTACCCCTCCCAAGGCCCCAGACAACTGTGACCAACATTGGGCAATGCCCTTTTTTAATGATAAGAGTAATTAGGACAACTCTAAGCTACACATGGAGACAATGTATAAGGATGGTCCACTAGTGTTGAACCAGTACATGTTGCACAGAGTACAAGGACCAAGAGCTGAAAGATATACTCTAAGAGCTTTTCACTGGAAAAAGTAAGCCAAATGGGATGATCAGATCTTTAAAATGAATCATGTCTTACTATTTCCAATCAAAATCTAAAAAAAAAAACATTGTGTCATCAGGAGAAAAGAAAGACAAAGCACATATATTGAACAGCAATGATTGTCTGTGCAACAAGAGATCCCTTGGAGCTACATTAAACAGTGCAGCCTAACTCTCTGTAAAAGCCCAAAAACTACTTGACATTGTTCAGTCAGACATTCTTATGATCTACTACCACCAGGAATTACCCAAAATGAACCCCAATGTTATAGCAGAAAAGACACAGTGGTTACATGAATAATCAAGTATGCAAAATATAAGACTCAAAATTTGCAAACTTTGTTATCCCTGTAATATTTAATTATCCACACCATAGTAAACAAAGAAAAAAGTACCTGAATATGCTCTCGTGTACGGGTGTCCCATAAATGAACATGACGGTCTAAGCCTCCACTTGCCAAATACCGACCATCAGAGCTAACAGCTAATGTCAAAACATGTTTACTCCACTTCATAGATGGACTTTGGGGGTCCCGTGCACCATGTGAGTTCAGTATTTCCTTGTTAGGCCATGTGTACTTTTGATTTTTTCCACTTTCAACATCCCAATGAATAATAGTTCCATCTTTGGAAGCTGAAAACCCCTTGACATCATCATCAGATAAGGCTACAGTAGTAACAGATTGTCGATGCCTCACTATAACTCGAAAGTCATCAACATTTGTCGGTTTTTGTACCCTAGAATATTCACAATGAAGTATATTAACAAATAAGGATACAAGTATTCAATTTATAACATGTCTCTAAGCATAGAATATGATATTTATCATGGCAAGAACAAAATGTGATACTTTCAAAAACATGTAAAATTAAAGAAACTATGTTGCACTTCTACTGTGTTATAGGGAACTATGCCACTACCATGTTTATAAGGTTACTCTGTATCAAGAAAACCAGACAGATTAAGGTGATTCCAGTCACTGGAGAATATCAGGGCACTATCATGTTTATAGGGTTACAACGCATCAAGAAAACAAGACTAGGTGAGGTGATTCCAGTCAATGGAGAAATTTAATTCATTTCCATAGTTAAACCATGGACCAAGCTGCAGAGATGATTAGCAAACGCCAGCCTGATTGTAACTCTACAAAATTCCATCCATTGAAGCCAACAAATGGATATTTTTGCCATCAATATTGCAGTCAGTGAATTACTACCTGATTGTAACTCTTCATCCTACAGCAGAAGAAAACTAGACGCTCAAGTCTAGCATTTACACATATTCAGTTGCGAAACTGGCAAACCAGACCAAATGAGACCATCAATAAAAATTGCCAGCTATGAGTTCAAGAAAAAAGAAAAGGAAAAGCTAAACAAGGCAATCATTCTTCTGATTGATGCAGGTCATTAGAGAGTTCATATTCAGCAAGTAGTTTCTAGTTGCCTAGCTAGCTATTGGAACCAGACGCCATTTAAACAATCTAAACTCAACCCAAACTACTTTTATGTTCAATTTGCCCACGTTCAGCTCTGACTAGGCATCAAATTAAATAAAAATTTTTTTGGTCAGTTCAAATTGAATTGAATTTCGGAAACTTAATCAAGCAAAGACGAGTTAAACGAGAAGCACATTTTACTCTACCTAGAAGCAATAAACCTACGAACACGACCACTCTCCTCGAGCTGCTCCTGTTGCAGCAACTCCGCAACCAAAGAATCACGCTTGCCGCTCTTGGCATCTTCATCCGACTCTTCACCCTCCTCCTCTTCCTGCTCTCGTTTCGCAATCTCCCGAATCTTCTCCAAGTACGCCTTGGCGACTCTCTGCCGCTTCTCGTCAGCAGTTTCTGTTGCAAATTCGTCCTCCTCTTCTTCTCCTCCATCAGCTAAACCTTCTCCTTCCTCGTCGCTTTCGTCGCTCTCAATGATGTCATTATCTTCTTCGTCAACCTTCCGTCTCCGCTTGGTTTCTTGATCGAAGAAAGGATCTTCGTCTACCGAAAACCGAGTCTTCCTCGTTCTGGTTCCACTGGGAAACGAATGTTTCTTCTTGCGGGTTCTGTTCTTCATGCTCGAGAGGAAGTACAGAAGTAGAGAACGTGAGTGACTAAGAATGGAGTTTCGGTGAAGAGATTAGGGTTCTATTTGTCTCAGGGTTTAGGGTTTTTCGAAGACGAAGAGTCGAAGAGGGAGCTCTGTAGTGAGCTTTGAGTAAATGCAGTGTATTAACACCATACAAAGCCACGGAGGCGGCGAAGGCCGAACCGAAGGGGAGAGAGGGAAAGAGTAGGGCTTTCGACAGAGCCAATCGGTTCCGAGTTTTTACCGACCCGATATTATAGAACCGATTCACCGAACCAATTAAATCGGATATGGGTCTACATTGGTTGTCACCTTGTCGGTTGTCCTTATAATTGGGTCCCTTATGGGTGGACTAGATCACGGGCCGGGCCGAATTTACTTAAGGCTGTTTGGTAACCCACTTTTCAAATCACTTATTATGGGTGGGAATGTTTAGTAAGTTACTTTTCCCGGTGCTTATATTAACACAAATGACAATTTTAGCCTTCACTTCACTTATACATATATTCAATGCTTTTTACATGTTATATTATACATTTCAATTAAGAGCCCACGTGGACCCATACGTGAATCACCATGTAGACTCAATTAATAACAACAACAACAACAACAATAATAATAATAATAATAATAATAATAATAATAACAATAATAATAATAATAATAAATACATAAATAAATAAATAATCATAATCATAATAAATAATAGTTATAAATAATAATAACTAATATTAACAAATAATGAATAATATTGATAAATAACAAATTACTACCATAAAGTACTTTTAATGCACATATTTCGCAAATTACTTCCAGAAAGCACTTTTAAGGTACAATTTTCACAAAATACTTCCAAAAAGTACTTTTAAGGCGTATGTTAGCACCCTATTTTTGCTCAGTTTACGGATTGAACCTCCAATTCACCCCAAACCCCTTATCAAAATCTTCTGACATCTTCAAAGCACCCAAAAACCTAGAAGACCCAAGTCTCACCCCGAGAGCCCTCAGATCCACCGTTAAACCTACCCGATACCTATCCGATGGCCCCGATCAACTCACTCACACCTCAACCATTAGATTAGACACAACCATCAGACTCAGGATCTATCCAAACACCTATCTATAAAATTTTAACTCAAGATTCCCCTATTTACCCCCTCTTCAAATGAAGATTCCATTTCGACCTTCCTCGTTAGCCTAAACACTCAGAACCCAAATTCCCTTGATATTGACACATCCAAACCAATCAAACCGCACCATTAGACTTAAAACACACAAAAACACCTTCCCACAAAGTTTTAACCCTAGATTCCCAAATTTGCCCTTTCATCACACCAAAATTCCTCTCTAAAACATCCCATTGACCTATATTCCTACAATCTTGGCCCTCTAAGGCAGATCAAACCTCATCATCAGATCCTGGACACCCCCAAATACCTACATATAAAATTCCAGTCCAAAATACCTTCATTTACCCTCAATCACACAAAGATTCCATTTTGAAGCTCCAGATTGACCAGACTATAAATCTGCTTGATCTTGACCCAATTGGCTCAATCTGATTTTACAAATCATCTCAAACTACCTAAAAACCCTACGCTATGAAATTTCACCCAAAACTGCCTTCATTTGCCCCTTTATCACACAAAGATTCAATTTTGAACCTTTAAATTAACTGAATCGAACCCTTTCCAGATCTACCCAATCCAGGCCCAGTCAAGCCAATTTGACCTTGCCGATCAACTCAGAATATTGAAAAAACCCCACCTTACAAAATTTCAACCAAAAATGCCCTCATTAACCCTTCTATCCAAAAAGATTCCATTTCGGCCAATCTTATTAGCTTATAGACAAAACCCCTATTCTGCAGTTAGATCCATCTCAACCCTCCATTTTTCACCCCAAATCTTAGTTATTCATCCAAAACCCTGGTTTGACCACCCTTTGACCCGGTTTGACTAAACTTTTCTAGAATTACAAAAATGCCACTTAGATTTCCTAAAATTATGAAAATGCCATTAGCCCTACCTATAAATTAAACATTAAGTTTTAAATTCAGGCTAATTGACAATATTCACCTTCTTCCCTATTTCGAACGAAACCCAACCCAAGCGGCAACGAATCAAAGGCAGTAGGGACTAACCTCCCTCTGACCTCCCTTCATCTCTCTTCCTCTTCTTCTCATTCTTCTTCCTTTTCTTTCCGTTTTCTTCCTCGGCTTCACCCCTTGCTACTCCCCATTATTGCATCATCGAGTAGTGGCGGTTGTAACGTTTGTTCCCTCCTGCTCGCTCAGATCTCTCCCTCTCGTCCTTTTCTTTTTCTTCTTCTTTTTCTTCTTCTTCTTCTTCTTCTTCTTCTTCTTCTTCTTCTTCTTCTTCGTTTTAGAGATTGTCGCCCCTTTCTCCCCTACCACTACCGCTCAATAGAATTGCCACTGTAACTTCTAGCATCGGCAGCGTTATTCACTCATTTCTCTCTCCCATGGAATTCTTTTTAGTCGCTAATCACTAAAATCACCAACCGATTTGATTAGACTAGACAATCTTTAACCATTCATTATCTTTCCAACAACAATGGCATATCTGAAAGCTTCCATAGTTTCTTCTCCGAGTTGTAGTAACTGAATACCATTTGGACAAAGAAGATCATATTAGCCACCTTGGAGTTTTTGCATTCCACTAGTTAAACGGTGTCCATGAGAACGTTTTGCTTCCACAATCCCATATTGTAAATCACAAAAAATTTTCACCATTCAAAGACAGGAAATCTGAAACTGAAACTATCTAAAATTTCACTGCTCCTTCGATCATTTTCAGGCCAACATCCATGTTAGGTAAATTGATTTTTCTTTTTGTCTGTATTTATTCTTCATTTTTTTTAGTTCATTTCTTCGGTGTTTACGGTGTTTTACTGTAATAGGGATTTGGGGGAGAAAGAACCGATGGAGCTGGTGATAGATTCTGCTAAATCGGCTCTTGTAGATTCCTAGTACCTGCCCAATCCCACGAAAGATTATTAGTTCTACTTGATACTTAGTTTTTTCTCCCAACCTTGATACCCATGGAAACGGACGGCCATCAGAATTGGTAATGAAACTGCTTAAAACCAATTTCTGTGAACCTACGAAAATCAGTTCATTGGGGATAATCCTTCAAGGCTAAGAGAAAATAGAATTTTATTTCAATTCCTTAATTGTTTTATCATTTAGTCTTTTTTGTTATAAATAACATGCTTCATTTCTTACGACTGAGTTATTAGGTAGACTCTTTGCCATTGGTTTGTTCTTGCTATTTTAGCCATCATAGTATGTGTTTGAGTAAATAATTGTGGTCTTACTTGCTTGGTATCACCATGTGGGCCCCACCTATTAGACCTGGGAGATGGGTGCCTAACCCCTTCCCTCTCTCATTCGAGACCTACCAAGACTGGTTGGACTAGTGCCTTGGGTTGTGGGAGTCGTTATCGATCCAAAACCGTTTTAAAAAAATCATTCTCGAAGTACCCATTACCTCCATTTCCTAATCTAATGGGTGACGACTCCATTTCTAGCCCAAGTGGCAAGTGAGCCGTTTTCCGACGCTTACAGTGTAGTTTACACAAAATACTTATAGAAAGTACTTTTAAGGCACAGTTTTCACAAAATACTTCCAAAAAGTGCTTTTAAGGCGTAGTTTACACAAAATACTTCTAGAAAGTACTTTTCACAATTTACACAAAATATTTCTAGAAAATACTTTTAAGGCATAGTTTACACAAAATACTTCCAAAAAGTACTTTTAAGGCACAATTTTCACAAAATACTTTTGAAAAGCACTTTCAAGATGCAGTTTTCACAAAATACTTCTAGAAAGTGCTTTTAAGGCATAGTTTTCACAAAATACTTATAAAAGATGTACAACATAAAAGTGCGGACATTTGTAAAATTGCATATCATTTAGACATGTACAACATGCCTACTGTAATAATTCCAACTAGTAGAATACACATAGATGCCTAGTACACATAGGTTAATCTGGATACATCATTTCTACTAGACAGCCTACTAGTTGAAGAATCATGTAAAACTATAAAATGATGAAATTGACAATCTGCTTCTTCGTATGTTTTATATAAGCAAAACACTACACCACTGTACCGATGGACCTACAAGTTGCATCCGGCCTAGGTATCGTATATACTTGGGAGATGAACAATGAACACTACATAGTATTTCCTACCATCCATTAACGATCTATAATGAGAAAATATATACTATCAGTTAATAAATTAACATAAAATATCTAAAACACAAAGTTCCAACATACAATAAAGTCAAATATATCCGCATTTGATGCATAATGTTTATCAAAGCCAAATAAAAACAAAACCAAGACCATCAACATTGGTTATGTTGACCTACGCCTCCTCAATGGTGGCCGAGTTTGGTCAATATATATTGCATATGCAAGTTATTGCCTAAGCAACAACATTTCTTGTTGCTGATCCACACTGCCAATAACAACCTCATAAAAATCTTCACCTTGCAAATGAATGTTGATTTTTGATCTCTCCATCATTCTCAAACTCATTAAATAGGGTGCCCATGTCCTGGTTGTCTCGGATGAAGTTGTGTATTTCCATGCAAGCAACAACTATCAATTGTTGTATCTTTAATGGATAGCATAGCATACATTTTAGGATAGGGAATCGAGCCTTCAACACACCATAACTTCGCTCGATGACACTTTTCAAGGAAGTATGGGCATTATTGAAGTACTCTTCCTTTGTTGTAGGCTGTCCTTTCCTTCAAAAATCAAGCAAGTGGTGCCGTGTATTATGGTACAATGCCATGTAGCCAGTAATGTTGGAGTATGCAGAATCAACAACATAATACTTACCTGATAATAATAAAGAGAATATAAATATATTTTTACACTTCATATAATACATAACAAGTTGCAATGTATATAGCCATACCTCGTGGTGGATGCGATAAATTATATTTTGGATTATGCACAACTTCAACAAATATGTGGTAGTCATGTATGGTTCTCTCCCATCCAACAAGGACAAATGTAAATCACATGTTGAAATCACATGCGGCCATTACATTTTGTGTGCAATGCCCTTTTCTATGCTAGTATGTTGTCTGTTTATCAATAGGGACCCATGCTGATATATGTGTCACATTAATAGTCCTTATGCAATTTTACAAAAAAAACCAATAGCTTTCAATATCCATTATTTATGATGTAGTTTTAAAATGGACTCATAGTATACAAATGCTACCTTGAAATATGGCCAGTATTTTGGATTTTGGAAGTTGGGAGGGCATATTATTGACAATGAGAGCTTGACTATTGGCATCAACATGTCATTGAAAAAGCGACTAATTGTCTCGTGCTATTGCATCATCTGGTTCCTCTCATTATGTCCAATAACATGAAGGAAAATGACTAGTTGTTCCTTCATCGAAATATCTTAATTGTTTACAATGAGGCCACACTCTTTCAGAGTATTGCACAATCATATAAATAGGTGTTTGTCCATACAACAAAGTTCATACAACCAGTCATCATGCCCTTCAAGGAGAGACTTTGTGTACATTGTTCCCGTATAGTCCATGGTGTGTTTGAATTCTTTGTGAATCCAAGTATTATAATAAAATTCACTCACCATTGAGACAATATTCACAATGCACTCATGCTCCTCATAAGCATCCATCACCTCATTGTAAGATAAGCTACTATCGGAATCCGAATTTGTATCTGATACTACCTCAATATCCGTTTCAATTTCCTTATCACTAGCCATCTCTTACACTATCATGCAATTTAGTAAAGAGAAATAAAATTAATAATCATTGAATGAAGACATAAATGCAAAAAATATAAAAAATACACATTTAATTAACATTAAAATATAAATCAAGTCTAACAATAATAATCTTACGAAATACTTGTCAAAATAAAGAGTACTCAAGTTCTCAAGTCTACGTGACAAAAAAAAGTAAAACACAAATTGATGCAAACAAGTTTCACACACTATCAGAATGCTTACACAACTCTTGATTCATCTTCAATTGTAAGATAGGAGACCCAATCGCAATAAACAAGTCATAGAAATCATCATTCATGAACTGGAGACTAGCAAACATGAATAAAGGACTACCCTCCTCAATCTTAAGGTTCTCTTTTAGGAGGTTAAAGCATCGTTCCATAGAACTTAGCCTCGTGTTTTGCCAACTTTATGGGTAGTTGATAGCTCAAATGTAGAGGCAGTTCTATCCAGATTCTTGCCAATTTGCATAGCAACCGACACCTTCTTTTTCCTGGCAGAGCTGTTACTTTCCCTTATGTTTCTCTGTTGACAACTCTATATGGCTGAGTGCTTGTTGGGACCCTTTTAGCATCCTGCATTTTTTCAGATGCATACATGGATGTCTCTATTTCATGTTGTAATTCTTCATCCATCTGGTCATCATCTAGAGTCGGTTGGGTTAACGGCACCACCTCCGGTAATGTACCCTCATTCAATGCCCAACTATCATAGCCATGGGCATCTGTACCACCAAATATGATGTCTAAATCTGCTGCACGACGAAGACTCTTGTATCTAAATTGAGCCGCATCAGGGTATGTCTATAACACAAGTACATAACTATGTAAGGTCCTGCCTAACAAAATGATTTACCTATATGTTTATTGTATTAAAAAGCCAAATTACAGCATACCTTCAAATAGTCATTCCAAAAGTCATCTCCATCAGTGAATGTTTTGTTCACTAGATCCCAACCCGATTTGGTAAAAATTGACAATTTATAGAGTATCTTCCACTCATTCTTTACTACATCCCAATGATTCTTCATTTGTTTCTGGGTGTAGTTTTTCCCCGTTATCCTATTGAAATCCTGAATCACATTTGTCCATCCTTCTCTATTCAGTGTAATATTGGTTCGATAGTCGGATATGACTTGTTGCAAGCATACATCCACCCAAATTTTATGTAGTTCAAGAGTCCACGTAGGATAACGAGATTACTAGCCATAACCTACTAATTATGTAATACTAATTATGTTAGTATTGACAATAAAATAGAAGAGAAAATGGCCAAAAGAATAATATACTTGAATCCAAGTACATGAATTATGTTAGTATTGACAAGTAAAGTTAATTAACTTTCTATTGGTTTACACGGATAATCCTTCTTTCTAGTTTTAATTTCTATTATATTCTTTTTTTATTTTCTGATTTAGTTAATTTTATACATACTCTTCTAGGGCTCAGAATGGAAAGAGAAAGCTGAAAACCTAGAACTGGAACTTCAGCAATGTTATAAAACTCAAGCACAACTATTTGAGCAACTCGTTGTTGGAGTGGTAGAATGCAGAACCTTAAATGCATTGGTTCAACAGAAAGAAGCATTGATCATCGATCTGCAAAGTGGGATTACTCAAACAAGGTTGTACTAGTTCTTAAATTTGTAGAAAAATGCAAAAAAAAAAAACTTTTTGGATTTTAAGATGGTGTTCAATAATTGGAACTTAGCAATGGTGCAGGGATGAGTGCTCCCGATTAAAGGATGTACTAGAAGAAAAAACAAAAGCTCTAAACTTGGCTTCAAGTGAAAACTAGACTATTAGAACACAACAGGAGGAGATGATCCTAAAAGTTAAAAAAGTAGAGGTTGAAAACAAGATGTTAATTGATCGCTGGATGCTACAAAAAATGCAGGATGCTGAATGGCTCAATGAGGTATTATATGTTTTTATCAATAGTTGGAATCTTATAATAGCTTCCATATCACTTAGTATTTTTTTGATCTCATGTTCTATCTCACATTACTAGAATTGGGAAACATCTAATTGTGATTGCTCATAATAAACATCTAATTATGGTTATAAAAATGACAGAAACCTCAATCCAGCAGTTTGTGGTGCATTTAATTATTCTTTTTATATCTATTTTTATTGGTATTTTGTGCAAGGATTTCTTTCAACAATTCCAGGTGTTAATACATTAGAAAGGTCCCATGTGTACTTGATCATTCAGTCTATTAATCATGAAGCTGGCTTGGTCATTATTGTTTCATTTTTCTTTCTAATTTATGAATTACTACAAGTGAATTATTTTCTTTAAGATTATCAAATTGTTGGCATGGTTTCACATGATATGCATATATTTTTTTCATCAATGCACATACAGTCTTGGCTTTCTAGCTTTGTTGTTAGGAAATTTGTGTAGTTGCTACTAAGTTATATATGAAATTTGTGTTAAAGAAGAAGAACCAATCAGAACTAAAGGCAAACTACTCATATACAGAAAAGATGAAGAAAGGGGTAGAGAAAGGGAGAAAATAGGGAAAAATATCCACATGCCGTGACATAAAACAACATATATAAATACCAAGAACAAAAAAAAAGAAAAAAAGAAAAACATGAAAAGAATAGAGAGAGCAATTGAGAAAGAAAGAAAAAACTATACCTAATCAGACTCCCCCAGCTCAGAGAGTCCAAGATATGGGCGTCCCCTCTAAACCCTTCAAGACACTTGAACCCCTACATACACCTAGATAGGCAGACACCCACTTCACACAAGTACTAAGAAAGGAGAATCCACTAACAAGCCACGGGGATTTTGTTCTAAATCCCAATGTAGAAGTAGAACCATGACAACTGAACTGAATAGGCATCAATAATAGCTACACCTAGATTAATTTTTTAAGAGAAAATGAGCAATTGGTTCTTCAAATAGTCAAGATTATACAAATAAATAAATACCCATTTGTTGTTGGCCTAACGAATGGAAAAAAACAGGAGAAAAAAAAACAGAGATCGATCTTTATTGAGTTCTTCAAATAGTCAAGCTTATACAAATAAATAAATATCCATTTGCTGTTGGCCTCACAAATGAAAAAAAATAGAGATCTATCTCTATTGAGTTTCAAGTTAAAAAATGAAGAAAATACAGAGTTCACAAGTGTAGATCTACAAAGAACAGGGAGCTCAAAAGTGTAGATTTACAATCTCTTGTCGCTGGTGGCTAGATGGTGAATCTATCGCCGTTCGAACAAGAGAGTTCAGAAGTGTAGATCTACAAAGAATAGGGAGTTCAAGTTAGAAAAAAAAAAAGATAAAATGAAAAAAAAAACTTTAGAACATAGAAGAAAGAGGTCAAACGACAGGTCCGCCTGCCACTATTCCTCATCGCTAGTCATCGCCGGTGGACCTGCAACTAGTGCGTCGCTACCTGGGTTTGAGGTTCAAATGAATGGAGAAGGAGGATGTATAACCCTTGCGGAGGTATTTTAGGCATTGTAAAAACTTATTAGGGACTTGTTCATCCTATTTTTTTTGGAGAAGTATTTCTTCAAGAAGTACTTAAAAAAAGACAACTTGAAATCACTTTTTCAAAGAAGTACTTCTTCCCCACTTTTTTACCAAACACCCATAAGTACATAAAAACCACTTAATGTGTGGTCCCATGTCTTAAAAGAAGTACTTGTTAAAAGAAATACTTCTTTTAAGTGTTTTCGAACACTACCTTAATAGGCTTGAATGGCACATATTAGCCCAATTATTGCTGCAAGTATTTTAAAAACTCTACACACTTATGGAATTGACAATAAACTTTTTTATATTAGTTTTAATAATGGTAGTGATAATGATTTAGTAATAAATATTTTAAAATCTCAATTTAAACTATGTTTAAATGGAAAATTATTTCATATTAGATGTGCATGCTACATCTTAAATTTATATATTCAAGATGCTTTAAATATTATTTCTTAATTGTATTATATATATATATATATATATTAAAAGTTCTAGAGCAATAAAACAAGAATTTAAATATTTATGTCATAATTATGGTTTAAAATATAAACATTTTTTGTTGTATGTTCAGCATAGATGGAATTCTACCTATTTAGAAAATTGTATTCTTTGCAAGGAAATTCTTATTGATTTTTATAATGCAAAATTGCCACATGATATTATATTTGAGGAAGATTGGGAAATGACAATTTGTATAAGAGATTTTTACATAATTTTTATGTTGCAAGTAATGAATTTTTGAGTGTTTATTATGCAACTAGTTGTCTTGTAGTTAATCAATTATTCATGATTAGTGAATATTTTTCAAAATATAGAAAAAATCCACAATTTACAAGAATTATTGAAGTAATGGAAAATATTGGGAGAACATTTCTCCTCTTTATTGTTTAGCTACAATATTAGATCATAGGATTAAGAAAGATGGTTTAGATATTTTACTTGAATCATATTATGCAAATATAAATATTAAAATTGGAAATCAAAAAGAAAAAAGTTATAACTTACTATTTGAAAAATGGTAGGGCATAAAAAATCTACAGCTTGTACAGATGCAATGTCCACTTTTGAAACTAGTTCCCGTAGTGGAAAAGATAGAGTTTGGTCTCTAATAAGTAGGAAGTAGAAATTTGCTATGACATTATCAACAAGTTCATTTACTGAACTTAATTTTTATTTCAAGCAAACTTTTTCTAGTTTAAGTGATTTTTTTTGACTCGGAAGGAATGAATAATTTTGATATTTTAGCTTGGTGGAGTGGACATGAAAAAATGTATTAAGTCCTTGCCGCCATAGCATGCGATCTACTAACCCCTCTAGTGCTTATAGTTCCATTTGAGTCTTGTTTTAGTGCAAGTACTAGCTAGGGTGCTGGATGACAAGAGAAGCTGCATGAATGATGAAAGTCTAGAGATGTGCATTTGCTTCAAAGATTGGTTGGATGCTGAGGATAGATTACAAGACAAAGGAGGGCATGACACTACACCTCACGATTCACTTGAAGCAAATGATCAAAATCAAGATGGAGATGGAGGTGGAACTTAAAGAAAAGTGATTAATATAATATGTATTTCTTTTAATTTTCAATTTGTAAATTTTGTTATTTAATTTTATTTAAATTATTTGTTATTTTTTCAACAATGTAATTTTTTATTTTCAATTTGTAATTGTATTATATTTTTTATGTTTTATTCTATTTTGTTAAGTATTTCTTAAGTTTCAAATTTAAATGAAATAAAATTCCAAATTTTTTCCAATTTGTTGTCTATTTTGTATTTTGTTAAGTGTTTTTTATATCTTTGTTGGAATTTTTATTACTTCAATTTGTTCCCAAAGGAAAGTTAAGTATTTTAGTTTTACTTAGCCAAAAAAAATCAAAATGTCAAAAAAAAAAACAGGCCCAGTTCGGCCCAGGCCTAGGCCTGACCCATAACCCAATCCGACACGGCACAGGCCAACATAGGCTTGGGTTGTGGGTCGTGTCGGGCTGACCCCCTAACTTATCCTAGCGGAGGGAAGCATGACCTGGTTCAACCCAACACAACCTGATTTACACCTCGAATTCCAATAAAATCAAATATTTGAATATTTAATCGAATTTGATCATTGATTTTCAATATCTGTCCAATATCGAATTTGAATTCAAATCCGATCCATTTACACCTATAGTAGAATCTACACTACTTGTGTAGTGATGGTTGGAATATATTTACTCACTTTGACCCTTATCCCATTTCCTGTGCATAATGATATTCACACTCTTTCCTCTTCATAACCTGATTTCCGATTAGCTGAACTTATTGATCCTGATATAGTAGGTCATGGATCCATGACATATGCTCTCGCGTACTAAGTTGTTTTGATCCCAATTGACCGATAGGATCCTCTCAATACATTCCTAAATATAGATGCCAAGGACTCAATTATTTGGACCAATACAAAACTAGGTGTGTTTTGTTGCTCATTAGCTTACAAGTTGTTGGAATAGGACTTGAGTTCCTTGTCTAATCAAACCATGAGAGATGGTTTTTCATGGA